AGGCTAGAAGTAGGAGCGTCCACTTTGTTTTATCCAAGACTTATGTTTTTAATGTACACAGTTCGAAAAAGTAGTGTAAATTTCTGTCACTATGATGCACATAAATGGAGCGTCACATACCATACAAATTCACATTACAGATCGTGTAAATTTATCAGTCATTTCATGAAATATTCTAAATATTGTATGCAACCATCCATCTTTGTAAGCAATATTTCTTGCAAGTTGCTAGTTTACGTAAAAAGGAAGTTAACAAACTTCAATTTCAGCATGCATGGATATTTAAATCACCATTAAAATTCATAAGTTTTTGGTGTGTATAGAAATAAAATACAAATGAAATCAAGATTAAGATGTTCTTCTATAAACTTTATCAAGTTTTTCCACACACTTATCTTTGTTTGCCGAAATGGGCACCACCGTTGATTAGAATCTACGATTGGGATGATGGATATTTAATTTTAAAATGAATAAATTTCAATTTTAATTTTATCTCTGCAACATTGAGAAGTAAGCATTGCATGATTATTTCGAATTTATTCATGCATGATTACTGGCAAACTAATCTTGGTTCTGACTGAATAAGGCAAAGTGGAAAATTACTTAGTTTTTAAGCATTTTTGATTTCATTTATATTTGAGTGTAGGGTAATAAAAGTCCTGTGTTTGAGTGCTTTTATAATGTCCTCAAAGGCAGACCAGAAACCTAGCTTTTCGTGATATGAAAAGCATCGGTCTATCAGCGGCCAGAAACAGCATGGCGGGTTTTCCTCATTGGGATACAAGCTGTGACCCAAACTTGTTCTGCCAATTGAACCAACTTCCAGCAGCATTGTCGTATCGTGGAGCGAGATTGTGCACGATGAAAAAAAGAAGAGCTACATTACTTCTCGGTTATCCGGATTTACCAGTGAACTTGGTAATGAGCTGACCCATCAACCACTTCTCTGTATCACTTCTCAACTCCATGGCACTATTGTATCCAGAGATGACAGCACAATATGTTTATGAGCATTGCCCTATCAGGATACCTGCTTTTCTGCTCAAATCAAGGTTTATCTGCAATCTGAGTTCCGAAAGCCAATTTCTGTTTTCTGGAGCATCAAATCGACTTGCAGCCATCAACAAAGTTGTTTATTATAGTTTTAAGTATAACATATTTTAATTCCATGCAAATCGGTTTTTCTCCTATACTGATTTGACGACAATCCCGAACAAAATTGAAATCGTTGGCGCGAACTCTTAACGTTGACCAATTTAGCTGATTCTTTGCATAGATGTTTGTTTTTGTGTTATGAACTGAACTAGGGGGTGGCCTATCAAAAATATCGATCTTTTTCCAGAATGAAACACCCTATTGTCCAGCAGTGCTCACATTTATTTATAATAATCCAATACCTACAAGATTGTGCCGAAGGTATATCGAAGGTGTGCCGATGGATGTGCGCAAGCTGTGCCGAAGCTAATTTTGGCACAATGTTCTGAGTGACTTACCCCTTGATCGATTCCCATCGTAGTTTCTTGTTGTGTTGGTCGTACTAGATGCTAGATAAAAGCTTTATTATTTTTATCAGCACTGGTGGTGAATGCTGTCAGAAGTAGTATGAACCACCTAATTGGGTTCTTTAGTTTTTTTTATATATATATCATCTGCAAGAGCCTTGCTTTCTGAGCATAGTGATATATTTTTTTTTTCAATCCCATAGACATTCATTTAGATTTTAAAATCAAGAAGTAAGGCAATTTCTGTTTTTGCGTGGATCTTTTCCCAACCTAGTGGTAAGTGTTGGAAATAGTTGCAATGCATCAACATTGGTGTTTTATTTATATATTTTTTTTGACGTAAGACTACGTCTGTGATTTCTATATGGGGATACACTTCGTGGAAACCGAAAATGAAAAATGTAACAAAATGATGAAAGATTTTAAACATTAATAACTCAGCTGCCCCTGGACCAATTTCAAAATTTTTATCACTATTCAATTAGAAATATTCCTACACATCTGTTTAAACTAAGACTTTATCATTTTTCAAAATGTCACTATTGAAAATTGCACGAATGTACAACTGTTGCTATGATAATTAAAATTATCACCGATTGCCTGCGAAAAGCGATTTCCCTAACACAGATTTCAAAATCGAATTCCATCCGGTCTCACAGATTGTTGCTTATCCAGGTCGTCAGTAGCAGCAGCAGCAGTGGTTTCAGCGTGTGGCGTTGAACATTGTACATAACGAAAGGCTGCCCACAAGCACCGAGCTGCAGCCCACAAGAAGCCTCACTGCTACTGATCGGGATCCATCCTCGTGAGTCTCTGTGGGTCGTCTATGCCAAGCGCGTCACCCTCGTTCCAAACAACATACGCCTCGCCAGCCTCATCCGTGTTGAACACTCTAATAGCATTACTCAACCATTACGACAAAACGGTCCTTTTTTAAGGATCACCATAAATTGTTGTTTAAGATTTAATTTTCTCGCCTTTCTTCCAGCCACGTCACCCCAAAACTCTTTGATAATGTACCCAGCAACCAAACATTTGTCGTCAAATGCGTAACAATAATGAAGTGGTACAAACAAATTCTCGCAATGACCAAATGACCATGTCAATAAACCAGAGACACTTCGTAAGGTTTTCTCCAGGACGCTAGAAAAAGCAAATCAATCTCAAATTTATATGATTGATCGCTTATATCTCGCGATTGGAAAAATTTGAACAAGAAGCTCCTCCAATCAATATTCGTTTGTTTTTTTTATTATCTATTGAATAAAACAAAAATTCCGTGCGTTTTGTGCACGCAAATACGTAATTTTGTCATCAAAAAACGAGGCGTTTCCGTGATGGGAAAGTGCTTTCCCTAACACAGTCGCCGAATATTGATACCAAGCACTAAGCATAACAGGGGGTATCGATGTTTATGCTTTTTGGTGCAAATTTTCAGCCTCTCCTATTAAGAGAGTTATGCTAATACATATTTCATTTCTGCACCGCTATCATCTCCAAGAACATCGAGGACAAATTTTCACAGCATTGTTCTAAACTGGTTTCCAAGCTTCCAACCCATCAGTCCTTTTCAGGACATCAAATGACTGACAAAAGAGTAAACTAAAGAGTAAGAGCTTGTATCCAAGACATATCGTCCAGGATTGGCTTGTACTACCTGGACAGCGGCAGAGCACCTCACAAACAGAACTCTCTAATTGCTTCCGAATTTCAACCTATCGAACTTTTTCTATGATAACGAGTTAAGAAATTGGAAATATACTATACTTTTGCTGTGACATTAAAACTACCTTTCGTAATCCTACGTCAAAACTACGGTCATGTCTTGGATACAACCTCTTACTTTTTGGTTAGATTTTGTATGCAGATTACTAATATGCAATTACCTAAATATTCCAAAATATACCACCGCATCGAAAAAAAAAAATAATAATTATAATGCAAACACCGATTAATTTTCACCTGGCATACAATCATGATTTTTAATACAACGATATCTTGAAAGCATATTAATTGGATTGGAGCTTCGAATCTTTCTTCCGATTATACATGTGGCTCTATCAACTCAGAACTGTAAATAATTCTGGAGCAGAACCACCATTGACTGCGCGGTAAACAAAAAAGGGCTCACCAGGTCACCGAGCCCCTACCATCACATGTGACATGGGATTGACGATTGGTCAAGCCCATCATAAAGCTATTCAAACGCATTGACGTCTCTGGAAGAAGCCAACCAACATGTTATGGTACAACACGTTATGTTCTCGATGCAAACCCGAGTTCCATAATTAGCATTCTTCTCCGTTCTCTTCAAATTAAACCCAAACAAAGCGATGCTTACACTTCTTTAATAAGAAGGATCCTAGGGTGGAACCCATAATATTTTGCTCAGTCAGCAACATTATAACAATTAGGTGCCCTAACTTAACACATTACAAAACGTGTTTTCCATTACACAACGCGAGATTTAGCATAAATTTACATGTTATTTCGTGTAAATTTAAGCATGATATTGCATAAATCAACACTGTTGTATACAAGTTTGCAAACAAGTTCGATATTTATGCCAACTTTAGCACAACGTAGATTTGATGCGGCAGTTAAAATTCAGCATCTTTTTTCCTGTGTACCGTCATCTTTCGGATTCAGTGATTCCGGATTCCTCTTCTGCGACGACACCGACGACGGAACCTTAAAAAATATTTCTAATCACAAAGGCAGAATCTGACACTGTCATGAACTGTAACCACACCGGGCTTGAGCGGATTTCACACGCATTCATGCTCACCATACAGAACAAAAATCTGAACTTTAACCTTTGGAAAGGACGTAAAGCCGTTGGTCCCCGGTTCATGAGTTGATGGTAGTCAATAGATAGGTAGGGTCCAGGTGTGGGGGAGCTGCCTTTCTAGCGTCGATATCATTGGTACTCAGAACGGAAAACAAGATCGATACGAATATTTTTCGATTTGGGACAAAATTTAATAAATATAATAAAAATCATGGGTTATTCAAAAACTGTCTACCCCATATAATATTTCAGAATAGCATGACGGAGCACTTTTTGAAAACCCCTTGCCTACCGACGCGCATCCATGCTTAACTTCCGCGTCGCTTAATTAATACCCGCGACAATCGGGAGACCAAATTTTCCGAAATCTGCATGTATTCACTAGGTCAAGGGCACCCCGAATCCATGATTCTTCACGACATGTTCTTTGCCAATCACTACAAGGAAATCTGAACACTAGGCTATATACGACAACGGGAAGCAAGATTAGTTCCAAACGAAAAGGCACCAATTAGTGCTAGCGAGTAGAATCTAAGCGCTCGGCATAAATTTCAGCGAAGCAAAAGGCATCCGGACCCACATTTTGGCGATGATATTTTGTTTTGTCAGTCATAATTTACGGGCAACAAACCACATGTGTGCTTGGCAACAATGCACATTACACGGATCGCTGCCTTCATAAATGGCTGTAAAATCCAATTACTCACCCCAAAGATACGAAATTAACGTTGCTCGCCAGACCAATCTCATGAAGGAAAGGATCGCAATCAAATGGATCACTCCGATCATGAACACGTTGTTCCACTTGATTTCCGCATCGAACTCGTATCCGAAGTAATCCCGCAGGATTGTCGTCAATTGGTGACCCCTGGCGGACTGCTTCCATTTGTTGTAATGCTGCAGGTAAGAGTTGACATCCTTCTCGGTGATGGTATGGTCATCGGCCAGGACCGTCTCGTTGTTGTTCGCATCGTTGATAACGGATACTCCTTTCACGAAACGCTTGCCATTCTTGTCCTGCGTTCCATTGCCGGCCATAAACTGTAAACTGCTCGCTATCTTCGATGTCATTTTGATTTCGATCACAGATTTTGTTACAAATTACTAAACAGCGTAGATTCGATCAAATTTCAACTCATTTCCGCACAACTATCACCACTTGCAATCTTCCCGTGCCCGTTCTCTTTCACTTACAAGGGGGGGGGGGGGGGGGGTATTCCACACTTGTCTAATCTTCAACCACTCAACGACCGATATATTGTTCGTCTTAATTGCACACCGCCTGCCAAATTGTTACCGACCGTTTCAGATTCCGCTAGCCGAATGCTGGTGGTCCAAAAACTTCGGCCGCTCTCTGGCTGGGTTTCACGCGCACTTGGTTACGTCTTAGCGCTACTCCTTCCTATAATGCATTCACAAACTTTTGAGATTTCCCGCCTCTTCGCGCGCCTCACTTAAGATACACCAAAATTTCCCTTTCCTCGTCGTCTCTCACTCACGACAACTCAGCGTCGCACACTGTAAAGGTATGATCGATGTTAATCGCTCTGGATCTTGCAGCGTCGTTGTTGTCGTCGTCGTCGTCTCGAAAGATCAGCCCCTACTGAGCCATGGCTCTATATGAGTCTTCCTACAAATATCGAACCTGAGCTAGGTGCTTGTGCTAAAGCGCACCAACAGTCAGACTAACTTGAGGCCGTTTGCCATCTCTTTTCTTTTTCCTCGTCGGAACTAGGCTTTACAAAAAGGTGACGCTATTTTGGAGAGGGGCTGTGTGAAGCCTTTTTTTGTGAATACTAAATTATGTCCCTTGAAGAAGGCAAAAGAGTTGCATTCAATGCCTCTGCTGCAGAACCTAAAATACAGACACGGCCTCAGGTGTTTCACAATGAACGGGCTTGCCCAATGGGGTTTTTGGTGGAGTAATATTTTTCGATTAATGGTAGGCCTGAAATGATTCATTCAACACACCTCTGTTTGCGGTAGGCAGTTGCTGTTTCTGTAATGGAATTAATTCGGGTATTTGTTGAACGTGAAATAGGTACTTTTGAATTAATGGCTCTTCCGTGATGTCACATAGCGAACAATTAGTATTGTTTTGGTAATGACGCATGCATTTCGGTAGGTGATGATTTCTCGCTAATTATAGATTCAGTCAGTGTGAAGTGCAGCTGCGTTCTGCGTTTGACATTGGTTTGATCAATGTCTTAAAAAAAATTAGATTGGGACATTCTTTATTGAGGTAGTCATTCAGCTAGCCGAAGCTAACTCTTGAGAATGCGGTAGATTTGAATTGTATTAGAAACTCACGATAGATATGGGGACATGATGTTTGAAACCGAATTTAAAATCAAAAATTGGCCTTGAATTTCGTAATTTTGATTCTGCAAAGCCTACACTAAACGGTCACGGAAAGTGGAAAGTTGCTCATCCATCTAGGTGTGTGCCATTTGCTACGTCCTGCAAAAAATCTGCTTTGACAGTTGCAAGAATTTCATAACCTGATGTAAAACGAATAGGAAATTTACTACGACATGTTGCTATTTAAGCCATCAAGCTTACGAATACCACCACCGCTTGGGTTACTTTTGATACATACATAAATGAATGCGGTGTCATACCACAATACTACCCGAACTAGTTTGATGCTCTCCCATCCCGGACGAATCCTGATATAAAACTTGAAAAGTTTAAGGTTAGTCACCGCTGATTAGCATTAATTTTTCAGTTAGTGTCCATCATTGGGAATTTTTTGGATCAAACGCCAAAAATGTATGCCTGCGCATAAAATGATTAGGAGGATAACACCTTCATCAATTTGCAGGGTAGCGGAAAATGGAGATTTATGCGATTTTTCAATTTCTCTAATATCGCTTTAACTTTGATTCTAGTAGTCAAAATGCTGTCAAAATTGGATATGTATTTGCGTTTAAATCTCGGTTGCACCGCTATCAAACTGAGCAAAACAGCACAGACAAACCGCATATATATAACAGCATCAATATAAAGCATCGTTGCTAACACACTACCGCCATCTGTTGTGATGGGTAATACGCATCTGTTGTGATCGGTAATACGCTGAACAGATGGTGGCGGTAGTGTGTGAACGTCAAATGCAAGGGTTATTGATTATATGCGCCAAAACAGCAAGCTGATAAAAACGCTGTTGAATATTTTTTTCTCCATGGGCTCTTATGGATGGGACACCATAATTTGGTATTTTTCGCGGCATTTTCGGAACAAAGTAGGAAACTTTTTATTTATTTAATTTATTTTATTTATTTTAATAATACATAGTTTTTTTTTTATATTTCAGTTTTTTAATTATTTTTTTAAAATTTTTATAATAACTTTTTATATTTTTAATTTTTTTTTATATTTTTTTTTAGTTTATTTGTTGTATTATTTTTTATTGTTTAACTTTATTTATTTTATTAATTTTCTTCATTTTCTTCATTTTCTTCATTTTATTTATTTTATTTATTTTATTTATTTTATTTATTTTATTTATTTTATTTATTTTATTTATTTTATTTATTTTATTTATTTTATTTATTTTATTTATTTTATTTATTTTATTTATTTTATTTATTTTATTTATTTTATTTATTTTATTTATTTTATTTATTTTATTTATTTTATTTATTTTATTTATTTTATTTATTTTATTTATTTTATTTTATTTATTGATTTTATTGATTTTATTTATTTTATTGATTTTATTTATTTAATTTTTTTAATTTATTTTATTTATTTTATTTATTTTATTTATTTTATTTATTTTATTTATTTTATTTATTTTATTTATTTTATTTATTTTATTTATTTTATTTATTTTATTTATTTTATTTATTTTATTTATTTTATTTATTTTATTTATTTTATTTATTTTATTTATTTTATTTATTTTATTTATTTTATTTATTTTATTTATTTTATTTATTTTATTTATTTTATTTATTTTTTTTATTTTATTTATTTTATTTATTTTATTTATTTTATTTATTTTATTTATTTTATTTATTTTATTTATTTTATTTATTTTATTTATTTTATTTATTTTATTTATTTTATTTATTTTATTTATTTTATTTATTTTATTTATTTTATTTATTTTATTTATTTTATTTATTTTATTTATTTTATTTATTTTATTTATTTTATTTATTTTATTTATTTTATTTATTTTATTTTATTTATTGATTTTATTTATTTTATTTATTTTATTCATTTTATTCATTTTATTCATTTTATTTATTTTATTTATTTTATTTATTTTATTTATTTTATTTATTTTATTTATTTTATTTATTTTATTTATTTTATTTATATTATTTATTTTATTTATTTTATTTATTTAATTTATTTTATATATTTTATTTATTTTATTTATTTTATTCATTTTATTCATTTTATTTATTTTATTTATTTTATTTATTTTATTCATTTTATTTATTTTATTTATTTTATTTATTTTATTTATTTTATTCATTTTATTTATTTTATTTATTTTATTTATTTTATTTATTTTATTTATTTTATTTATTTTATTTATTTTATTTATTTTATTTATTTTATTTATTTTATTTATTTTATTTATTTTATTTATTTTATTTATTTTATTTATTTTATTTATTTTATTTATTTTATTTATTTTATTTATTTTATTTATTTTATTTATTTTATTTATTTTATTTATTTTATTTATTTTATTTATTTTATTTATTTTATTTATTTTATTTATTTTATTTATTTTATTTATTTTATTTATTTTATTTATTTTATTTATTTTATTTATTTTATTTATTTTATTTATTTGATTTATTTTATTTATTTTATTTATTTTATTTATTTTATTTATTTTATTTATTTTATTTATTTCATTTATTTTATTTATTTTATTTATTTTATTTATATTTTATTTATTTTATTTATTTTATTTATTTTATTTATTTAATTTATTTTATTTATTTTATTTATTTTATTTATTTTATTTATTTTATTTATTTTATTTATTTTATTTATTTTATTTATTTTATTTATTTTATTTATTTTATTTATTTTATTTATTTTATTTATTTTATTTATTTTATTTATTTTATTTATTTTATTTATTTTATTTATTTTATTTATTTTATTTATTTTATTTATTTTATTTATTTTATTTATTTTATTTATTTTATTTATTTTATTTATTTTATTTATTTTATTCATTTTATTTATTTTATTTATTTTATTTATTTTATTTATTTTATTTATTTTATTTATTTTATTTATTTTATTTATTTTATTTATTTTATTTATTTTATTTATTTTTTTTATTTTATTTATTTTATTTATTTTATTTATTTTATTTATTTTATTTATTTTATTTATTTTATTTATTTTATTTATTTTATTTATTTTATTAATTTTATTTATTTTATTTATTTTATTTATTTTATTTATTTTATTTATTTTATTTATTTTATTTATTTTATTTATTTTATTTATTTTATTTATTTTATTTATTTTATTTATTTTATTTATTTTATTTATTTTATTTATTTTATTTATTTTATTTATTTTATTTATTTTATTTATTTTATTTATTTTATTTATTTTATTTATTTTATTTATTTTATTTATTTTATTTATTTTATTTATTTTATTTATTTTATTTATTTTATTTATTTTATTTATTTTATTTATTTTATTTATTTTATTTATTTTATTTATTTTATTTATTTTATTTATTTTATTTATTTTATTTATTTTATTTATTTTATTTATTTTATTTATTTTATTTATTTTATTTATTTTATTTATTTTATTTATTTTATTTATTTTATTTATTTGATTTATTTAATTTATTTTATTTATTTTATTTATTTTATTTATTTTATTTATTTTATTTATTTTATTTATTTTATTTATTTTATTTATTTTATTTATTTTATTTATTTTATTTATTTATTTATTTATTTTATAAACTAGTCAAAAGTAGGTAAAAGTGAACTGGCCGTTGGGTGCTTTTATCTTACCGTGTAGGTTTGACCGTTATTTTTGACAGAAAATTCTGAGCAACTCCGAGCGAGTGCGAGCTGCGTCGCAGCTATATAATCACTAGACAAGCTCATTCTCAACATGTTCATAGCACCTGCGATCCT